ATCTTCTAAAAACAAGTTTTGATACGAAGGTACACATCCTGATTCTTGATTAGTTTGAAGTAGTTTAGCGTTGATTCAAATGTAGCAGATGTTGAATGAGGTGTATAACATCTTCTAAAAACAAGTTTTGATACGAAGGTACACATCCTGATTCTTGATTAGTTTGAAGTAGTTTAGCGTTGATTCAAATGTAGCAGATGTTGAATAAGGTGTGTAACATCTTCTAAAAACAAGTTTTGATACGAAGGTACACATCCTAATTCATGATTAGTTTGAAGTAGTTTAGCGTTGATTCAAATGTAGCAGATGTTGAATATGATGTATATAACATCTTCTAAAAACAAGTTTTGATACGAAGGTACACATCCAAACTAATCATGAATCATGGTTAAAACTCTTTGTGATTTGGTAGACACACCAACCTTTAATGTTTGGTTAAAACTCTTTGTGATCTGGTAAACACACCAACAGATGACTTAATTTCGCCATCACCTGTATAATTTAACTACCATCCATATACAAACAGGCTTTGAAAATATAAACATAAAACTAATCCTGAAACATAATCATATGAAAGAAGAGAGAAAACCGACTACATAATCTTCTAAACCCTAGCAAACAAAGCAGTGAAGAACCTAGTTTAAAACTATTCAACGTAAGTTCTCGTCCAAACCATAAAAATAGTTTCTAATTTAATTATTGAGGAAGGCCTCAGTACAGACATGCATACTCCTGTAAATTTGCTGACTATGACCTTGGGTAATAATGTTTTTTTTTAATCATATCAACAACTGAAAATGGAGAAAATTTCTCCATAATTTTATTTTTATGTTCACATTATTAAGAAATCAGCTGGATTTCACACTTGTGTCTATAGGTACCAAGTGCACTCAGAGCAACACGTAGAATGGTAGTCTTAAATCTATCCACAATAAAAACTTGGAACATAAATATTTATAACTCATATCGTACTTGACATATGTACCCCCAACAATTTAAACAGTGAATTAAGGAGAATGTCGGGTATTTTCATTTATAAAAGTTGTTATCCCGAGGGAAGAGTTAACAAAAAAAAACAATCAGTAAAACTGAAGCAAAGAAATCACGAGACCAGAACTTCATCACAACCACTATACATCCCTTTTATCGAATACGTCAGCGACAACCTTGTCTGAATATGGAAATGTCTCATCAAAAACACAAAGTTGTTAATCGTAAGTAAAAGAAGAAATAAAAACAAAGACTGTCGTTGGAAAAACATAAAAATCCGAAACAAAAGGACACCAATGTAATAACATATGAAATCAAATGTAATACATGTGAACGATTTTATTTGGGTAAAACTGGAAAGGGACGAAACACATGGATCAAACAACACATGAAATTATCTTCCCATGTTTTGAACGTTTCAAAATAAAGCACACACTTCATATTCGAACATAACATTGAAACTGGCATACACAGATGAAACATCGCAGACGCTACGCTACTGTAATAAGAAAACTCAAATTTTTTAAAACTATTCCGGAACTCCCCCCCCCCTCTCTCTATTAACTGTAATCCATATATTCCACTGTTTTTATGTGTTTTGTATTTTTTTTATAGTTCTTGTAAGTAATTATTTTCACCTATCTTAAAGATAAATAATTCAACACGCGCTCTGCTGAGAATAACCGTCACAATTTGAAATTGTAATAGTTGTTAAACATATAGTGTTTGAAGATGACCCGTTCCTATCGGCTGAAACGTTGCAGTTATAACTGTTAACAAAAACACATTTGTCTTATTTTATGGAAAACAACCACTCCTTTATACAGTCATTAAAAATGAAGGAATTTCTGTTCTCATAAATGATACATTTTGCAATTACTTTTCGTCCGCTGCGAATGGAATGAGTGAATTTGCTTATTCTTTGGTCATTTCTTTAAATTGAGTATTGTGAAAGACAAACCCATAAAATTACTACTGAGTTGTACATCATCAAACAGTGATTTTAAAGATTGTAGTAAAAATTTTAATTGTTATATTTACATTAAAATCGCTTACTAGTAAGTTGAACATCGAAAAGTATGTTTTAAAGATTTTATAGAAACTAATAATAATGATAGTTACTTCTTCAGGCATCACCCGACAGGTGGCTCTGCTCAAGTGCTTCACGACCATTGCTGTCATAATAACAAGTATGAGCATTAAGACGAAAACTCCAATTACAATACCGAGGATGATGGGGGTAAAGTTCAAAAAACTATCTGAAAATGAAATAAATATAGATAAATGTCAATACATTAATAGATATCATATTTTAATCTATTACAAGTTAGTTTTTGGTACATATGATATTGTCCTATTCTTCAAGAAATGTGGGGCTTAAAATGTTAATGCACCAGAACGACGGTTATATTCTAAAGGTTTATTTAGCCCTTTCAGTGTGGTTGGATTATATTTGTCTCAGTGCACATTTGTGCAGGAATGGTTTAAAATAATATAATATATTCTTGCGTCACTTTCACCTCAGAGCGTACATATAACGTAATTCAATAAATAACAGCTGGGAGAACATATAACCCAAAATCAATACCGGTTGGAAACCGCACATGTAACCCAACATCAGTGCTTGTTGGAACACACACATGTAACCCAACATCAATGTTTATTGGAACACACACATGTAACCCAACATCAATGTTTATTGGAACACACACATAACTCAAAATCAATGCCTGTTGGAACACGCACATGTAACACAACATCAATGCCTGTTGGAATACGCACATGTAACCCAACATCAATGCCTGTCGGGACAAACATATATCCCAGTACAATAACTGCTGGGACACACACATAACCCAACATCAATGTTTGTTGGGACATATGTGTAACCAAGGAACAATGCCTATTGGAACATGCATGTAACCCAACATATATGCCTGTTGTGACACACATGTAACCTACCGTAAATACATTTTGGGACACACATGTAATCTAATATCAATACCTTTTCGGACACACATGTAACCCAGCTACAATGCCTATTAGGATACACATGTAACCGAGCAACAATGCTTGATGGGACAAACATGTAACTTAACATCAATGCTTGTTGGGACACACGTGTAACTCAACATCAATACCTATTGGGATGCATACGTAATCCAGTAACAACGCCTATTGGGACAATATGTTCCATAAACAAATTCTAGAATCTGTGCATGGAAAAATATTATCAGACATTATTTTTACTTATTTATGTCTTTTCTATTTTAAGAATACAAATGTCGTAGTGAAAAGGTTAATATTGCAATTTTTTTATATTTGTTTCTTGGGGTTGTAGATATTCAGCAATTTAAATAAACAGCGAACAAAAGTAAATATGACACTGAAGATAAAAACGACACGAGGAAAATTATTAAATGGAATATTCTAATTCTTCAATAGACCAAATAGTACGTGACCTCAATCCATCTGCGTAAGACACAGGACGAAACATTCTGATTTGGTAAAAGAAGGAGTTATATATATCTTGTCTAGTGTTATTTGCTACTGACAAATAATTGATTAAATATACTGCATTAGCCCGATTATAAGGCGACCTCGAATACAAGGCGACCCCTATTTTCAGAAACCATGGGAAAGAAAAACTGAGTATCATAACGTCCTTTGTTTAGGTCCGCAAAATCAATACTATAATTGAACAGCCTGCAGGTGGATCAGTTGCAAGAATTGGGGATGACCTTGAGCGAACATCTGGCGCGCATCCGTAGATGGATGCTTTCTGGACATCCAGGAATGTGACAGACTAGAGCAGGGGGAAGGGGGCCTGTGATCGACTGCAATTATAAGGCAACTATGAACTTTACAGCCAAATTATTAATAAAAAACATCACCTTTTAATAGGGCCAATACAGTATATATGAAGTGAAATCGATCATTCGATTCACCAACTGTTACTGAATTATATCAATTTCGGGGAATTCCACAGATTATCAGTAGCCGCTGACAAAGGCAAATCATAAAGAATAAGACTGGGCTTCTTACAGTGGTGGTGGATAACAAAAAACATCATAAATACAAGTTATTATTATCAATTAGTGAGACCAAACTAGCAGGACTGTAAAAACGTTTTAATTGGCCAACTTCTTTCGATAAAGCTAAGATTTCTGTATTGGATTTTGAAGACTCTGAAAACAAAAGATTCAATTATCGAATTTGCTTGCCTCTTAATATTTATTTATCCAAAATGAAAAGTATTCAGTTCATGTTTACTTTCGTTGAAGCTTCGTACTGTCAGTGACGGTTTTTGTTTTAGTGGCATGCTCCTGAAGAAGCTATAGAGCGAAACGTTGAAAGTCCAGTTAAAGAAGAACAAGAGGAAAATCTCAGTAGTCGCGACTGCAATTAGATTTCAAATCGGTTAAGAGATAGAACTATGAGCTAAAAGTTTACATTTGAAAAACAAGCAGGAATCTTCAATAGCCGAAGTTGTAATTAAATTTCAAATCGGTCAAGAGATGGAGCCATGAGCTGAAAGTTTGTACTTGAAAAAAAAACAACTTAAAACCGTTCTATGTGGCTAAAAATAACAAATTTGGTGTTATAAAGTCGTTTATAGTTAATTTGTTTGTTTGTTGTTGTTTTTAAGGTACAAAGCTACACAATGATCCATCTGTGCTCTGTTTACCGCGAAATATTGAATCCCGGATTTTAGCATTGTAGTGCATAAACTTTCCGCTGAGCTACCGAGGAACATTCGGTTAATATCATAAAGTTTTAATGAATTCAAAAATGCTTGCAATTTGGTAACAAAACAAACTTGCAATATGCGTATAAAATTCAGTTGTCCTGTTTTCACATTTGCTATGCCAACAACTCTTTGAAGCTAGGTACTTACGGGTGGATTCATTGTGCAAAGAAAGACCTAATGTTTATGATCATGTTTGAGGACATCAGTTAATAAAAATGGACACCGTTTTTCACGACCGCGTTCATGTAAACACAATAATTCATTTTAAAAAATATTTTTCTTTTTTACTATTTACTTACAATAGGTATTTTACAATTCATGCTAGGCTTCATATTTTAAACAGTATTCAGATGTAACTTAGTTAGATTGGTGTATTTTGGTGCCTAGTTAAGTTTGTCCTCTCACTGATTCATTGTTCACTGGAATATTACATTTCAGATAAATAGATTCCTCTGTTGTTAATAAGGCTGAACATGAACAATAATTACCGTATCTGCACTGTGAATCCAAGGATTCATGGTTCGCGTCTCATTGCCACAAAAACCGTTTTAGACTTTCAAGCAATGAGTACGTAATCAAGGCGGTGGTGGTAAAAAATCCTTCTATTCGGTTAGATAAGAGCAACCCAAGGGTTGGAGGTACAAGCCTCGTTTCGTCGAGTCTACCGGTCCAACGTTAGGGATGGCTATTCGTATGTAGCCCTTGCACAGCTTTGCTTGATATTCTTATACAAACGGAACTCAAGTGTTGAAACTCATACTATTCAGTTTAGTACACAGAGCGAAATAGTTTTTTTTTGTCATTAAGTGGAATTTGTTAGAATACTACGCCCAAAATTATTTTATTTGTTTCATCGCTCTTTTTTTTGCATAAAAATTGGATTAAAACGGTTAAACATAGACTATTCATAATATATAGATTAATTTCAACTTGCGTTTATTAAAGTTACCTCCAAGAATTCGTTAGTTGTCTAAACTTACCAGCTAATAGTCTATAGTGTTTTTGGTCCATCAAAAGGAAATATCCTACTGCGATTAAAATATAATAACGTAATCAACTTTGTTTGATTACTTACTAGGTGGCGCTACAGTAGTAGTGGCCGTTGACGATAGCTGAACAACGGTTAACTGATTCCCGTTCAGATCGGTAAGTTTCAATTCTCCACTATTAATCTTTTGCGTGAGTTCACTCGTTGAGGCCTGTAGACTATTTCCATCGACAATGGTAGTGTTACTATTATAAGGAACAAGTCCAAACTTGACGTCTATACTACCTGTTGTGAAGGAGAAGAGGTAAACATTAAAACGTGAGCAAACCAAGCTGACAATACACGTATATCAGTTTAACAATAGGCTACACTTATTACGGTAAAACAATGAAATCACGTAATGGTACAACAATGAAATGATGTATTCGTAATTGATCTGTAAATTCTGAAACTCTCATAATTTGTCTAGAACATTATTTTAGCACGTGCATCTTAACAGAATGTTTAATAACAATCCCTTTTACTAATATTTTTCGATAATTACGTTTATTGTATGTATAAAATAAAGTCAATGTTCACTTGTCGTGCATCCGAACCTACAGGAATCGGATCCTGTAGCGCAACAAATCTAATCCGAGGAACAGTTACGAACAAATGATGTGCTACAGTACGTATTCCACCTGAAAAAAAAAGGTTGTACCTAAAATAAGTCCTCTACTAATAATTAGTTCGCTTTGCAACGTGTTCGATTTTTTTAGTAGATTGTACTCTGGAATCCAGCAGATACCCACTCACCCCCACCACCTCCCAAATAAAAAAGAAATTAACACCTGCAGTCTTAAAGAAGGTGAGATGATGGGTGCTATGTCTGTATTTACTTCATTAAGATCTTGAACGTTATTTCTTCGATTACAATTTTATAAGTGAAACCCCGAACCACGTTTTTAGTAGTTGGCACTTTGGAGAGAACGAAGAGTACGTATTGTCACCAATATTTCATCTGTAGCATTAAGGTGGTCTCACTCCGACATTCGGTGTTAAAATTAGCTCTTAATTTGTCACAAAATCGGTTAATACATAGAATATTTAACGCAAGATCTAACCCTCAACCAAAGGCAAAGAAGCGTTTTTGGGTAGAAGGGCAAGGAACTCAAATTTCAAATAACCGTTGTAAGTGTTGCATAGAAACTTAACATTCCGATGATTGGTGTACGTTTTGCATATACCGTTGGAAAGTCTGGAATCTGCTGTATCCAAATATGTAATCCTTATGGTAATAATATGTTTCAATCGAAAGTTATGAGCAGTCAAAGAGACACGGGGTTTCGGAGTTGCTACACCATTACCAGCAAGGGCCACACACATGAATTGATTATCTCTTCTTTTTATTACAAAAATTACATTATGCGACATTTCTTTATCGTCTGTTTGAGTCTGGAGACCTTTTCCTTGATCTTGGGATCTGATGGAAGGCTATTACTACTATCACTACAGTTCTTGTCAGCATCAAACCTATTTTTGAGTGCTGCAACAGCATGTTTGGGATTGATAGGTGGATTTGCCTCAACAAGGACTTTCAAAACGTTCATCGTGATAATACATAGCAGCTGCACAGGTTGCAAGTCGAACATGTCGGAACCTTGCACCCGCAGGTGCTCGAGGGAATAATGGTAATTGATGATTACGTACCAAATAGTAGCAAGGTTCCAGTCACGGTCAGCGAGGATTGGAGCTACCTGGTTAGAATCTTTGGGCTCTGGTCTGACAACGCTGATGCAACAAAGGGCGAAGATGAAGTTTCACATAGCTGACCCGTCGGTTACACAAAAAGTGCTGACATTAACTATTTGGTTTCTGCTGAAGAAGTTTCACATAGCTGACCCGTCGGTTACACAAAAAGTGCTGACATTAACTATTTGGTTTCTGCTGAAGAAGTTTCACATAGCTGACCCGTCGGTTACACAAAAAGTGCTGACATTAACTATTTGGTTTCTGCTGAAGAAGTTTCACATAGCTGACCCGTCGGTTACACAAAAAGTGCTGACATTAACTATTTGGTTTCTGCTGAAGAAGTTTTACATAGCTGACCCATCGGTTACACAAAAAGTGCTGACATTAACTATTTGGTTTCTGCTGAAGAAGTTTCACATAGCTGACCCATCGGGTACACAAAAAGTGCTGACATTAACTATTGCGTTTTTGCTGATGACGTGGCCAGTTATAACTCGGTCAGTTTGTGTCCTATTTGGATATTGTAAATTGTAATCGTCATATCTCACCATATGCTACATCCTACAAAAGTATTTTATTTTAAAAAAACAATCGGATAAATCCCGGATATTTAACATCCGGCCCCTGCAACTGAGGCGCCTCTGGTTGAGGGAGAGACCCTGTGTTTAAATGAGAAATGCATTTTTATTAAGAAGAAAAAGGTGGTTATTATTTAACCAAAATGTTACATGTGGAATATTGACAATGGCTAGATTGATGTTTGGAAACTCTTTTGGTTGATTTCAAACCGCTTTAGCTTAAAACTTTTATTCTGTCATATTTATGTCTCGTGTTGTCCTAAACGAATCTTACGAAAAGCTTTCTTTAAAGCTAGTCATAATCCTCGTAAGAATACTCTTGAAACATTGTCCCAAAAGACGAAACGTAACAAGCGTGCCTTAACTATCCCTTATCCCCCAATTGTGTCCCCTCAAATCACCAAATTTATCAAGGACAACTTTTACGTTCTTCAAACTAATAATGACACAAAGGCTGTTTTCACTGAACAACCTGTTATAACTTTTTGACACAAACAACACCCTCGGGATACCTTTCTTCATGTCAACTTTACTTACTGTATTCAACCAAACAATTCTCCTGGTTCTTTCCCCTGCAACCGACTACGTTCTGTAACTTGTCAACACACTGACAATCGAATTTCAGTGACATTTATCCCAAACCGTTTTTAAATTAAAAATACTTTTACCTATTTCTCAGAATTCGTTATATGGTGCATTGTTTGTGCCGTACATTGGTGAGACTAGTGACAAATGTCGCGAACACAGACGACTCATATTAAATGATAATATTGACTTACTAATCTCAAGAAACCTTTCAGACGATAAACACGACTTGTCACATCTCATGCTCGTTGTTTTAAAATCAACACCAACAGAGTTTTATTTACGTGAACGCGAAGAACGACGCCTTATTTATACTCCAGATACAATTTCTTCACTTGTTTAAACGAGAACTTTTCTTTTTTGTAACTGCAATGTATACATCGTCCGACTTTTGCCACTATTACCTTTCAAATATCAGCTCTGTGTTTCTTTACAACAATTGATTCGCTAATATTGTTACGTCACACTTCGAACCACCTTTCGCACGTTCTCCTATTTTTGTCTTTTTTTTTTTTTTAGTAATACTCGAATGTGCTCTGTATATTTGACTTTAACAAACATCAGCTGAAGAAACGATGTGTTAAAGTTTTCCTAGATTTTGTTACCATCGTATCTAGAGTTTTACTTTTACTTTCTAAAATGTTGACATTGTGTCTATGGGTAAATGTGGATCATTGCAATGTTTTTTTACCGTATATTTTAACAGCTGATATTCAGGACAATAATTCCTGTAATGCTATGGTCTCAGAAAGATTCCTCAATTACTTCAAACTAATCACGAAGCGCGTGCCTTCGTATCAAAACTTGTTTTTAGAAGATGTTACACCCCTCAAACTACTTCCCACATCCAAGGTTGGTGTGTCTACCAAATCACAAAGAGTTTTAACCAAATATCTAAGATTGGTGTGTCTACCAAATCACAAAGAGTTTTAACCAAATATCTAAGATTGGTGTGTCTACCCAATCACAAAGAGTTTTAACCAAACATCCAGGA